GGTTTAATGGGACACTTTATAGGCTACTCCCTTTCCACAGGAGCAACCACTTTACCCTCAGTATACATCGTTGTTTGTTCGCGACTGCTTATTCCCCCCGAAGGAGTTATTCGCAGCTAACCTCAGTTCTTGAGGCCGTTCCCTTATCCGCAACCCGGGGACGCGCTCGGTGGCAGTCAGCTCTGCCCTTGGAAGGCCGAGGCTGTCCCCCCGACCCCCAAACCAAGATTTTTATTTAACCTAACCTAACCTTGCAACCGACGGTCTCGGAGGTCGCATCCGCCTGTCGTGAGGAGAATCCAGAGGTCAGTGAGGATGTGCAACGTAGGGATACCGTCTCAAGCGGCGATGTGAAGCGTTAAAAATAATACCAAACACTTTTGTAGTGATAAATCAGTAGATGGTTTTGTTTTTTGTTTTTGAGCGGACTGTATTTCGTGTGTTTAATTTTAGTTAGAAATACAGATCCGGGGTGCGTAATGCCCAAGGTTTAATCAAAACGTTATGTGATTTATTTTGTCTTCTTTTCTTTTGAGGGGACCCAAGTAGAAGGGGTCTACTCGCCAAACTGACACTTGTTAAAAACACTTGTTTGCGAAGCAGTGTGTAGTTATCGCTATGACTTATGAGTAAGCTTGGTTTGGGTTAATCGTTAATTTGGCTAAGTGTGAGCAATAATTGAGAAGTTAGATACTAACTCGTAGAACCTAACTTGGTAGTGGTTGGTGTAACTGCGGTAACTGACTGTGTGTCCAGAAGAAAGTTCACCTGAAAAAGAGAAACAATAATTAGGATAAGTAAAGTTTTGTGTGCTTACCTAGTAGTTGTTGAAATTATTGTAGCTCCGTTTGTCCGAGTTAGTTGTGTTCTTCTCCTGGATAGTTGGGCAGTTACCTGAAACAGAAAAAAGAGTTAGCAAATCATCTCGTTAAAAAACTTTTGCTCACGCTTCGTTAGATTGTTGGTGTTTGTGTGAAAAGTAGTTGAATGAAATGTTTCACATAATTCAGCAAGTTATTATACTTACCTCAGTGTGTTGTACCTCTTTGCGATGCGTCCGTGTGTAACATCTGAGTTTGGGCTGTTAATTATTGTGGAAACTTTGCGTGCGTGTTTTTCTTCTTTAGATTAAACGTTTAGGTGAGTTTCAGCAATAATTAGTTTTTGGGACTAAATTTGTTATTCTTTGGTAATTATTGGCAAAACTATGTGTGCGTGCTACTCTTCATCAGATTAGGCGCTGGAACAAGTTTCATCAATAATTGAAAGTTAGGCTCCTAACCCTGACAGTCATCGTCGAGCCTAACCCTCACAAAAAATTAAATTATTGCGGAGACTGCGCGTACGTACTATTCTTCTTTAGATTAGGCGTTTAGGCAGGTTTCATCAATAATTCAAAGTTTAGGGTCCTAACCCTGACAGTCATCATTAGGCCTAACCATCACGAAAAGTTCAATTATTGTTGAGACTTTTCGTACGTATTACTCTTCTTTAGATTAAACGTCCAGGCAGGTTTCATCAATAATTGAAGGTTAGGCTCCTAACCCTGAAAGTCGCCGTCGAACCTAACCCTCACTAAAAGTTGAATTATTGCTGAGACTGCGCGTACGTACTGTTCTTCTTTAGATTAGGCGTTTGAGCGAGTTTCATCAATAATTCAAAGTTTTCGGGTCCTAACTCTGACAGCGTCGTCGAGCCTAACCCTCACGGAAAGTTGAATTATTGTTAATACTTGGCGTGCGTAAAAAGCATCTTTTGTAGAGACGATACTGCAAGTTTAACAAATAATTGACGCTTCGTACTTGTTTTGGGTCTGGTAAGCTTTGAGGGGCTGACAACACCTGTAAAACAAAAACGAGATTAGAATTATGAGTGATATTTCGAGGATGGAAAGAGCTTTGATGGAAAAGGCTCCACACTAAGTATTTTCAATAATTGGTGCGTTAATAAGTTTTGGTACTTACTTATTTGGGATCCTTATCCATCGATGACTCAGTCTGGAACAAAGAAAGGAGTTGTGAACTATTGGCGAAACTTTGGGAATGAACTTCCCGAGTGTTGATGAGACTTGGCTGATGGGAAATTTCAGTAATTGAAATTTTCAAAATTGTGTTAACTTTGTGAAAAGTTGTCAATTATGGATAAAACTTTGTCAGTAGACATGGTTTAGATCAAAGAATAGGTCAGTAAAGTTTCATCAATAATTCGGTAGGTTTGTTCTTAAAGCGGGTTGCGCGTGCGCGAACACCAAGGAGTGGGGAAGGCAAAATTTCTTCCTGAAGCCGCGCGCGCCTCACGGCAGTCTGATACGGGCGCCCAAACTAGTAAGACGCCGTAATCACGTATCTTGCTCAGTCATTCAGCAGTTGGAATCGAGCGCTCAAGAAAGCATAGCGTTGTAACAACGAGTCCTGCTCAATATAACGTATAGTGTTGTACGATCGTTCCGAAGTAGTCAGACGTAGAAACATCGTCTCGCTAAAAGTGATGTATATTGCGACACTGGAAGAACCGGTTGTTAATAACGCGTTGTATATTTATATATCCTGTAACTCAAGAAAATTGTTATTTCTTTTTAACAAGTGTTAATAAACAGTTTATAAACAGTATAACCATAAACTCAGTGTGTGATTCATTCTCACGACTTGAACTTGGTTAAAATCTGGGACGTACCAGTGGTCCATTGTCCAATCCAGTCGTCCAGGGTCCAGAATCGAAGGGGATCCAAAGGCAAAGGCGGCAGATTCGAATGTTCGTCTATCTGGTGAGTCCGTTCCTGAAACAGACCAAAAAGGCTGTATCCTTCCTGCTTAGTGGTGAAAGCAGGTAGCGACCGTAAAAGTCAGTTAAACGGCTTAACCGTCCGGTCACAACCTTACTATATGATATAATATATATGTGTAAGCGTGTGCGTGTGTATACATAATGTACTGATACATGCTGAGAGTATACCTAAACCATTTTGTAGATATCCTAGGTACATGCAACAAGATATTCTCCGTATATAAAACAAACGACTTTAAGGCGGTCCTTAATACTTACTCAACATGTACTCATTACATTATGATATGTATGTCGAATGATCGTAGAATATTAACAATATACTGTTAGCATTTGCTTCAAAGTTTCTCAGAAGCTCCATGTTCTGTTAGGGTTAATTCTTAAAAAACTTTCGTATACGAAACTCTATTGTTAATGTTACATGTACTATATTGTTGGTTCTAAACGTAAGAACAAAATCACGTTCGATTGCTACAAAGCAATTTGTTCTGCTTGCACAATACACCAAATATAAGAAAGTAACTGACTTTTATATCGTTATTAAGGCAATTAGAATACTTACATGGTTGTCACCACTTGGTTTCCCCTCAACTAAATAAGAAAATGTTGCAGATAATGATCTTCTATAGAAAAATTCACATCAGAAAACCAGGAGAAATTTCAGAAACAAAGAGAAAAAAACACGCACGCACTTACAAATGTATTATACATTTATACAGTTTACAAAACTTTGAACACAATAAATTTTGAACTTTTAACACATTAAATAATTGAGTTTCAATTATTAGCAGTTTCAGTTGCCGCTAAGCTCCGGAAGACGGGTGCGCCCTACTCGACGAGCCAAAAGGTGGGCCTTCGCAAGACCTACAGTGACCTAGAAGAAGAGCGTGAACTCGACGACCAACGACGGGCGGAGGTAGAATTGGCCGTGGACCCCAAGGCAACGTGCATGTCTACCGCTACGTCAGTCGCTGCGGCCTCCGGCCGGGCAGCGGACGGCAGGGATTGCGGATGTTCCGACTGAGTTGGTGACCTAAGACTTGCCCGACTCACCGGGCCATCGATCTTGCGGGCAAGTGGGCGGCATCAGTGCGACGTCCTCTGGACATATAAAGGGGACTTATATCAAGGGCCTTAAGATGTCCGCAGACAGACTCGAGGACGTCGTCCATCTCTTAGCCGGGAGAATACAAGGGGAAGAAAATGTCAAGCGTCTCCGCACGACGATTGACCGCCTGACCCGTGAAGTCAATAAAATGCGGGAGGAGGCCCTTTGCACTGCCCGCGATTCTGCAGAGGCAAAGGTCGCTCGGGTAGAGCGTGGGAACCGGATGCTCCAAAGCGAGATGGCGGCCATGCAGGAGGATCTTGAGGCTTTTCGTTACGAGCTGCAGGCCATCAAATCTGCCGGCGTAGCCGAGCGGTTCGCCCGGTCACGCGGGGGCGGTGGCTCACCTGCGAGCAGACCCCGGGAAGCGATCCTTCCCCCGCACGCGTCGCAAGCCGGCCAACCGTCAGTGAAGACAAGAAGATGGATGTGATGCTCGCACCCGCAGGCAATCTTCTTCCTGTGCAAAGGAAAGTGCGGATGGTCTCCGCACTCTGAAGCAGCTTGAAAGTAAGCTGATGGATGCGGTGCGAGGGCAGCTCGCGACGTTCTGGGAGCAAATGCAGTCGCACCTCTTCCGATCGTCGCTGGGTGCCGTTGCGACGGACAGCAGCACCAACAGGTTTCTCGCTCCCTCTGCTAAGAACCGTCCCAACAAAAGGGGAAAACCAACCCCTACGCCTCCCAATGCCTCTTCTCCCAAAGACCCAGTCCCCTCACAGGAAGTAGGGAAAAAGACGGGAGGAAAGAAGAAGAGGAAGGAAAAGAAGCGGTAAAACCTTGCTGCGAGGGAGACAAAGAGAAGACAGGAGGTCGCCGGGACTAAACCCACGGCTGGATCCGGAGGAAAAGAGCCTTGGACGTTACCCCAGCCGGCACACGCGGCTCAATCACTCCCTTCTCCCACCACGCAAGAGACTTGGTTTTAGGTAGTGGGAAGGAAGCAAGGGAAGAAAGCGGGGTCGCAGAGTCTTTTCTTCTCGCAGCGCGGGAGGTCAACTGTTCCGGATGGGAAACCCGCGCAGCGCGCATCCCAACCAAAGGTTGGCAAGCCTTCCAGGAGCGCGGCCATTGCTCTCTCCGCCGCCGACTCCAAAAGGCCGGAGAAGCGATGAAGTACATAAGAAAGAAATTAAGCTTGACGGACTTTGGGATTGCCCACGTCCGCCCCAAGCGAGTGATCATCGGAGCTCTAATAGAGATCCCCGGTGACGACAATGAAGACAGAGCGGACAGGTTGTGTGCCGCAATGTCTCCCCTGGCGGAAGAAAAGGGAGCCAAGGTGTCGAGGCCGATAAAGACTGTGGAGCTGCGCGTCAAGAGTCTCGACGACTCTGTCTCCCCGGAAGAAGTGAGGGACGCGGTGGCGTCCGCCGAGGGTTGTCGGTCGACCGATATTAAGGTCGACCAAACTCGCGCTTCCCCTAACGGACTGCTCACTGCGTGGGTTCAATGCCTAGTGGCAGCGGCCAGAAGAATAGTGGGCGACGATGCCATAAACGTCGGATGAGTACGCGCTCCTGTTGAGGTGCTAGAGCGCAGGCCTCTCCAGTGCCACAGGTGCCTCCGGCGCGGACACGTCATGGCGACGTGTACATTCACCGCGCCGGAAGAGAACAGGAGGGGCAGATGTTATCGATGCGGCGACCGGGGACACCGCGCTGCACAATGCGATTCGGCACCGCGGTGCCCGCTATACGCGGACCTCGGTCGGCCCGCGACACATCGACTTGGCGGAAAGGCCTGCGCTCCCATCCCCCGCGGGGGTCGAAAAAAGAAAGAGCGGAAGGCCGCCGGGGACGGATATCAGCAACCTTTCCAGATCCAGAAAACCATGCAGAAGAAACCCATGCAGGTGGCAACGGAAGGAGCAAACTCGCAACAACAGCAGCGACAACAAAAGCTCCCTGGTACGGTGAGAGGAGGAGATGGAGATAGAGCAGCCACCCCAGCCATAGACCCTCTCCTCCTTCAGTGCAACTTAAATCACTCCCGCGAGGCCCAAGATCTGATGGTCCAGAGCCTAGTGGAGTTGCACGGGACAGTTGCTATAGCGGCCGAGCCCTACTCGGTTTCTGATCATCCCTTGTGGGCCGGGTCCGAGGACGACACGGTCGCAGCGTTTATACGGTAAAGTGCAAGAGATGCCACGGTCTTCTTTTTCCTGGAAAAAGGCCGTGGTTTTCTCGCTGTAGAGTGGGGGGAAACCGTTCTCGGGAGATATTTCTCGCCAGACAGGCCCCTTTATGAGTTTGAGGAATATCTGGACGGGGTGAGCCGCGTCGTGCAGAAGCACCTACCCTGTCCTGTTGTGGTTCTGGGAGACTTCAATGCCAAGTCCAAAACTTGAGGTTCTTTCAGGACCGATGAGAGAGGGGCCGCACTAGAAGAATGTATGGTGGCCTGCGGACTCCATGTAGTTGATCAGAGTCCGCAACACACGTGTGTCTGCCAGGCTGGGGGATCCATAATAGACATTTGTTTTGTTTCCCCAGCCGCTGCGCGCCGTGTGTCTGACAGGCGAGTAAGGGACGATATGGAGACCCTCTCGGATCATCGTTATATTACGATGGGGGTCTCTGTCTTACCGAATCGCCTTCGGGGTCATTTGACAGAGAGAACTCCTCCGTCCCAGGGGTGGGTCCTAAGAGAGCTGGATCCAGATTTCCTGTCCGCCGCCGCTCAAGTCGTGGCTTGGCCAGCACCACCAGCCGAGCCACAGGATCTCCGGACGGAGGTCCAGTGGCTCCGGGAGGCATGCGTCGCAGTTTGCAACGCCAGCATGCCGCGTTCCCGAGAGCTTTCGAATCGGAGGTCGGTATATTAATAAAGGGCCGAGATAGCCGATCTTCGGGCTGACAGCATTCGCGCCAGAAACCAATATATTCACGCCCGTCGCAGAACTGGCGACGTGGCGGCATGAGCGGCGGAAGCGTACGAAGGATACCGCGCTACGTGCAAAGCCCTTTGTACTGCCATTAGAAAGGCGAAGGCCCAGACTTAGGATGAGATACAGGAAACTCTCAACAAAGATCCGTGGGGAGCGCTCGTACAGGATGTTGATGAAAAAGCTTCGTCTTTGGACGCCTCCACTTATTGAGTCTCGACCCCTAGCTCCTGGATAAAGTTGTCTCTACCCTCTTCCCTAGTGGGAAGGGTACTTGGCCCTCCCAGGAGCCAGAGTTGGATCCACCGGAGTGGGCCAACAACATGGGGGTCACGGAGGAGGAATTCCGTCGGGCTATTAAATGCATGATGCGTAAAAACACGCCCGGTCCCGACGGAATTCCAGGAAAAGTCCTGAGTTTCGCTTTCGGACAGGATCCCCTAAGGGATCGTCTCAGACACATTTTCGAGTATCTGAAAACGGGATGGTTTCCCCCCTACTGGAAGAGCCAAGCTGGTTCTCCTGCGCAAAGGGGAGCGGCCGGCGGAGTTATCGTTCGCGTACCGACCGATATGTCTACTCGATGAGGCTGGCAAACTCGTGGAAAGAGTTGTGTCAGTCTGCTTCACGGAGCACCTGTCGCGGGTGGGTCCCGACCTGGCCGACTGTCAGTTTGGAATCCGTGGAGGACGGTCCACGGTAGATGCCGTGCTTTGACTTAAGTCCCTCACGGATCAGTCGGTCAGGCAAGGAGGAGTGGCGTTGGCTGTCTTGCTATACATTTTCAACGTCTTTAACTCCCTTCTCTGGGACAATATCGGGTGGGCCCTTGAACGTCACCGGGTCCCCCTGTACTTGCGTAGTCCTCAGTGACTACTTCCGCGGCAGGAGGATCGCGTGTGTTGGTCGATACGGATTGCTACATAGTAAAGATATGTACTGCGGAGTTCTCCAGGGGTTCGTGTTGGGCCCTTTACTTTGGAACCTCGAGTACAGTCGCGGTCACTGAATCGTTTCGTGGACGCGGGGGGCTAGAAGTAAGAGGGACGGTATTCCCTAGCGGTAAGTAGCGCCAACGGATGCCGTCCTAACTACCTGTAGCAATCATCTGATCCACAACTGCGTCGTATCGATAATGTCAATGCTTTCCTTGACTATTTGTGTCTCAAAACGTAAAACTATTGGCCTGTTTCACAAATGCATATATATATATATTGTGACGTGACACTTTTCGTGTCCGTCACAAGGACACAATTCCGGCCGGCACAGGGGGCGGTGGGCTTGTATCTTCCAATGTTTTAGGGAGAGCAGCTCATAAGACCAAACAAAGCAAGCGAGCGCGCATATATTGGCGAGGGAGCGTGACGCCTCTATTGTATATTGTCATTAAGTGCAACATTGAAATGTACGCTAATATTGTTTCTATTATTTGCAGGTTGAGCGTCATTCGTTTTCAGAAGTATTCTGTATTATTGAATAGCGGATTGATTTCAGGATGTTATTTTGTGCCGCATAGGCCGCGTGACGGCTAGCGTGGCCGTTCGTTATTAGCGAGGAGAGAGAGAGTAGATCACAATGCAAGGCGTCGGACAAAGAAGTACAAAGTAGACGGAAACGAGTAGCGGTACAAGGCCGTAAAGGCTCCAAAGGCATAGAGCTCGGCGACGAAATCGGCAAAGGAGCAAGAAACGGGAAATGTCGACATTCGAATTCTCCGAATTCTTCAAAAACCGGAGCGGAGCTTTCTGTGGCATCTTGTTACCGCGACGCTAAAAGATGAGCCCGAACAAGCTCATTGATCAGAGAAAAGGACGCAAAGCGGATCGAGGCACACAGAATCAGGACCCGTGTCGATGAGTTGCCGATACGCACGCGGCCGCTGTCACTCGCGACGCCGTAAAAAGAAGATTATGATTGGCTCATTACCTAGAGCGACGAGCGGCGCACGGCCGCGAGAGAAATTACCGTACTGGCGAGATTCATTGTTGTGCGCGCCGTGGTACTCGCAAGTTTCCGGCCTAAGATACGTGCCGAGTGACAGTGTGTGCCGGAGTGACGAAAACCTGAGGAGGACCCGAGCCGACCTTGAGAGAACTGGATAGGGCCGAGAGTTGCCGATTTTACAAGCGAACTACAGGAATAAGGTGCCGACAAGCGTAAGTGACTACTCTTTCTCTCTCTCTTGCGTACGTCGTGTGGAATATTTTTGCAGATCGAGTCTGCACGCGTTTTGTCAGCTCGATGCCGCGTTGAATATTGATGCAAAGATTTTTTTTTAAGTACGAGGATTACACGTCGCCAATTGCCGACAATTCTTAAAATTGCTGCTTTCTCTCGCCGTGCCGCAGTCGCAACAATCCGGACGTTGTAACGTCCGTAATTTGTTTGTATATTGTTTTGTTTTTTTGTATTTATATTTTTTTTACCGTACCGTTGTGAGCCGATTTTGTTGAGTTGCCGTTTACCCGCGCGATATACGGGAATATTAGAATATTGTATTTTTAAAGTATCACCTCGGAAGCGATATCTAAGTGAGTTCAATTCTAACAATCGAGACCGGAAGGTGCGGATAGTCCCGAAACTCGTAGCCGTCGGACCGCGACATCATATTGTGTGCAAAATTTTGCGCGCGTCAGACAAAGACCGCGCGCCTATCGCGCGTCTTATTTATCGCCCGGCGTACGACAGCACATTCCGTCGTTATCTAACGCCTCGCGCGGCGAGCCATACATTAGACGCGCAAGGCCACGAGCGGATCTTCGACCGACAAAAGATCGTGCCGGATTCTGCTGCCGATATCACTCGTCACTACCGAGAATATTCCCGTACGACTTTGCTTACTAGCGTCCGCGTATTTACTTTATGTTTCTTCCACTGTATTATTTTAATGTATTGCCGAGAGTTTTCTTGACCGGCCGCACGCCATAATTATCATATGTATTATTAAATTTCATTGTTAATTCCCATCAACGAGCAAGTTTCTCTACTTTTATTTCAAACAGTGCCTCCTGAGCCCACGTCTCTCTGTTATCTGAAAAAGACGCAAACAATTAAGTTATATATAATGCAGTAAAAAAAGTGTTTGTCAAAACCATATTCTACACAAATGTGTGATATCCGAACAAAATACCTTATCAAAAAAAGATAAAAAAAGGCGCCAAATACATGCGCAACTCGTATCTCTAGAAAAAGTATTACTATCAAAATCTTTCTCTACAAGATCTATTCTACAAAAGAAATGATATCAATAAGTTACGCCAAGTAAAATCTTTTATACATGGTTACAAAAATATATAAAATATATAAAACTTTGGTTATAAAAGTTGTTTATACGTTGTAAAATAGAAAATATTCTAAATCAATAAAAAGTTTCAAATATTGTATGACCACTGCACTTTTTATATAAAGCACTCATTGATGTAAGAAATGACTTTGCCTTGCGTGGAAAATCTTAAACTATGTCGAATCATACATATAGATTTCGATTTGTGTGAAATGTCAAAACCTCATTTGGAATGTTTCAAAATAAAAAATATTTAATGTAAAAAAAACTTGTCGCGGCTGCACCAAAAAGTAAAGACAAAGTGCACCCGGTCCTGAAAAGGACCGTTTTACTATATAATGGTCTGAATAACCAGTTCACAATCCCTGTCGTGCAATGACTAACTCTAATCGACGTAAAATAGAAGCACTTAGGTTTGTGAAAAGCCATATTGCACAACACAAGATGCACGCCGCGATTCAAAAAACATCGAAAAACTATTGCCGATTTAATAGTTCTTGGCACCGTAGTATCGAAATCAAGTTAGTTATTGCACGACAGGAATTGTGGATTGGTTATTCCTCTGGAGGAATATCCAGAATGGGCAGATCAGCGCCGTGAGTTGGTCGCCAAGACGGGCGAAGCCCAGTCCCTTGGAGCCCTTCTCAGAGCACTTGTCTCCGGGAAGGAGGATGTGCGCGCGGCCGCGGTCTCCTTTTGCGAGACCGTCATAGTGCGGAAAGAGGCCACGGAGAGAGTCCGGGAAAAGGAGCCCGGTCGAGTGAGGCGGAGGAGAGTAGCAGGTGCGGCCGGCAACGCTGCCAATCGCGCGCGTCGACATCCTCCCCCGCCACAACCTGATTGACACTAAGTCCGGACGTGAGAAAACTACTCCTCGCTATTCCGGGAGGGAGGCTCTCTCCTTCCGGACGTAACATTTGGTGTCGGATCGACGGGGGGTGGGTTGATGTTGGTGCCGCGGGCGCGGAAGGGCCGGATCCTCTCCGCGGTTCCTCAACGGCTCCTTGCACTTGTTCACCGGGCCAAAAGCTGAATCAGGTCAGTAGGGGCGGCAAAGTGTGGATGGGCCGCACTTTGTTGCCACACGTCGTTATATGGGGAGGGAAATGTTCTCCCCACGAGATGTATTAGGCGTGGGAGGGTAGTCTTGGATTATTCTACCTTGAAGTTCCGGGGCCTCCTCGGCAGTCGCGCCGAGTAGGCTCACCGTGGCGGTTTTAGTGGGTATACCTCCTCTATCCGCAGGGAGTTCCACATAATCCTGACCTCTCCCAAGGTCAGAGTATCCATAAAGAGTTTTCCCACATTAAAAAAAAAAAATTAAGTTGTGACCGGACAGACACCTAAACGAGAGAACTTCTTACGGTCGCCATCTTTTTTAACCCGACAAGAAGGAAAGAGATTACCTTTGTTTACTTGTCACAGGGAACGGACTCACCAAACTGATGAACATCCGTCTATGCTGTCTACGCCTCTGGACCTTCGCTTGCTGTAGACACTGGAAGATAATGAACAGAAGAAGACAATTCTTGCTTTTGGACTGGCTCAACACTTGGACCAGGAACAGGTAAGTTTTCCACAAGGAAATTACACCAAATTTAGAACAAAACACTGATATATATAATTTATTACTGAACACTTTTACAACGCAAATTACTACGCGTGTTACAAACTGATTGAGCAAGATACGTGGTTACGGCGTCCGACTAGTTTGGGCCCCCGTATCAACCTGCTGTGAGAAGCACGCGGTCTCAGAAAGAAGCCTCGCCTTCCCCACTTCCTGTCCACGCATGCGCAGTTACTAATGAGAATTCGATTTTCTGAATACTAAAAAATTTGACTGGGATCATTTATTTAATTGTAAATAAACTCTCCTAACCAGTTTTACAAATAATTACAAATTTGGCCAAAGTTCAAAATTTTGACAAGTTGAGTAAAATTTCAATTATTGATAATTCTGATTAAATAGGTTTAGTTTTCTTTAGAAAATCTTATTCCCGAAACCTCACTCGTTTTTCTTTTTTCCAAATGGAGTTAGCATTGGACGAGTCATCCCGCTGAACCAAGTAAGTACAAATTAAAATAGTTTTAATTACGGCTTAAACTTAACGAGTTTTTTTTTAACGAGGGAAAATGCTTTATGCATTCCCCGACTCCCGAGGAGGAGACGGGGGTATGTGGGACTCCCTCTAAGAGAGGGTTACTCACTAAAACCCCTCGATGGTCAACATCTGAGACTGCGGGAGGAGTTCCTGGGAAGCCAGAGGCTATTACCTCACGGGACCCCCCCATTGTCTCCAAGCCTTTGAATTGAGACTATCACCAGCATCTAAGCTTGAGCTCATTATGACGGAAGGAGGGGCCATAGCCTCCTTCTGTCATCGGTGGGGTTACGTGCTATGAGAGATGAGAGTCCCCGCTCTCACCCCTTGTGTAATCCCAGCGTCAAACCTCCAGGTGGGGGGGATACCTCTCCAAGAAGAACAACTCGGCTCAAGGGGCCGAACGAGCGGAGGTTTTTTTCCTTCTCCCTTAATTTAAAGTCTCCTTTGACCTGAAAGATTTGGGTCCTTCGAGGATCGGGGACCTGGCCTAGGCTTCTTGGATTGGAGAGTTTCCAGCAGGGCAGCGAGGACACTCCTCGCTCGCTGGAACTTAGTTCCCAGCCTCTCCGTCTTTTTTGCGGCCGCTTCGCCTGGTACATTTTTCGGAGCAAAAAGCACCGGAGAGTCAGGTACGGCCGCACTCGTCATCTTTGGCGCTTCTAGTGTCTTAGACGGCTCCGGCGGCTCCTCCACCGTCGACTCCATCAAAGTGCCTTTTCCGTCTGCTGGTGCAGAGGTCGGAGCCAGCTGGCTTGCAGGGAAAGGAGACTCCGGAACCACGTCACGGACGGGGGAAGAGAGACGAGTTCCCGTCCTCACAGGGCTCGGCTTCTTGCTGGGAGCCGGGGGGGCCGAACAAGCCTGTCCCCTCAAAAGATGTTTGGCCGGGCGACCGAGGTCCGCACAAAGCGGGCATTGCGGCTCCTTTGCCTGGCACTTCCCAGCACTGTGACCGAGGTCTCCGCAGCGATAACACCTACCGCTGCGGTCCACCGCTGATAGGCACAGCCGCTGGACGTGTCCGGTATGTAGGCAGCAATGGCACATCGTGGGCCTAGGCGGCAAGGCCTCAACAGAGGCAAGCGCCCAGCCCAGTTGGACACGGCCAGCACGAGCTAGCCGCCTTACCGCCGCCGCCGGATACTGTGCCCAGCACGCGCACGCTCCTGATAGAGACGTCCGGGTCGGTCTGACCCGCACGTCGCACTCCCGGCATTCCCCAGCACTGGCCAGGGCTGCCTCCAACTCCTTCCGGGTGATAGAGTCGTCGAATCCTGCCACCCGGATGGCTTTTGGCAGGCCGTCCAACCTTGACGCCAAGTTTTCCGGACTCAATGACCTTCCTCACGCGGGAGGCAAAGGCATCCGCCTTGGCGTCTTTCCCGTCGCCGGAGACTTGGAGCATCATGCCTCCGGCGATGGTCCGTCTAACCCGGATCCGCGCAATCCCAAACTCCTCGATCTTAATTGCGGCCCGGCACTGCCGCATTACCGCAGCATAAGAAGCACTCTCCCTCTCCGCTACGAGGGTGACAGCCGCGGTTGTCGGGACACGCGGGGTCCGCTTCTTAACACCTTTGGTGTTCTTGCTTAAGGGATCTTTGCCCCCAGATAAAACTTGGCGAGTTGACTCTACCAATGACAACTAGTACCTACACGCAACACGACTAACAACTAACTTTTCTTTCAGGCCAAGTCATTGATGGACAAAGACCTCAACCAGGTAAGTGTTAAAAGTTACCAACGTATCAATTATTGAAAATATTTGGTGTAGAGCCTTCCCCATCAAAGCTCTTTTAAACCTCGAAATATCACGCATAATTCTAATCTTGTTTTTCTTTTACAGGTGTTGTCAACTCTTGAGGACCTACCGGATCTAAGGTAAGTACAAAGCGTCAATTATTTGTTAAACTCGCCGTATTGTTTCCACAAAAGATGCTTTTTACGCACGCCAAATATTAACAATAATTTAATTTTCAGTGAGGGTTAGACTTGACGAACACTGACAGGGTTAAACCCTAACTTCCAATTATTGATAAAACTTGCTTGAACGCCTAATATAAAAAAGAGCAGTACGTATGCGAAGTCTTAACAATAATTACCAACGCAACCCGAAACTAACACCAACGTCTAATTATTGATGAAACTTGCTCCAGCGCCTAATCTGAAGAAGAGTAGCACGCACACTAAGTCTCGTCAATAATTAGCAACGCAAATCTTCTTTACTTCAGGTTAAACCATCCTTTGGCGACACATTGCACTGAATGTAAGTACGCAAAACGGCACAAATTATAGGAGATATTCCGCCCAATTGTTTCTCATATCAAAACCTTACGGCATACGCTATCCCATCAACAATTACGTTTTTTAACTTTTCCATCTTAGGCTAAACTGTTCCCGGATAACGCACTGTATCGCGGTGAATTTGCTCGGCAGGAGTAAACCTTACGCTTACACACCTTGCTACGCATTTCCATTACTTTGAACCTTATTACTTCCTCATACGTGAAGTCTGAGTTACACCCAGGTCGCTCATACAAGTCAAACCCGTGTTCAGTAACAAGTGTTGAAAAACTAGCATTTTCAATTATTGCTGATCTTTTACCAACCGACTTGATTATCTAAGCCTAATCATCTGTCCAAGTTTGAAGAATAATTCGTTACTTAAAATTCCAAAATTAAGATTGAACTTGAAACACCTAACTTTTACAAACTTCCGAACTGTAGCTCAAATCTTGCACACACTCTAAACACAAAATTACATCAACCCTACAATTTACAGCAATAATTGGAATTGCTTGTTTCACAACTACCCTTGACATTAGTGAATGTCAGTTTGGCGAGTAGACCCGCTCTAAATGGACCTCTCAAACCAAAAACACAAAATAATCGTTTTTGATTACATGCATGAACAACTGAATGGGCATTATGCACCCCGGACTTATATCTAGTAGAACATAAATGGATATATATATATTTGAAGAGTAAGTAATTAGATCTAAGTCCGCTCTAAAAATAAAACAAAAAAACACACTAATTTATCAGTCTCTCATCGGGTAAAATGTTATTTCTAACATTGTTTCTTGTCTTCCTGCATTGATCTCGCCTCCTGGGATGCACCTTCAACACTCGGCTCGTCCTCCGGAAAGGGAGCTGTGACCTCCAAGGCCGTCAGTTGCATTACCCCCGCTATTCCGACGTCTGTAGTTGTCAACGTCGTCGGTGACTCCACAGTTGTTGGAATTTCTAACTGCTTCGATGGCTGAGTGAGGTTCGCAGTTTCCTTACTAAGTGTCGTGGTTGGCTGACTCAACAAAGTCTGGTACGTTGTTTCAGCGACGTTGTTGCACCGTCCGGAACCGGAGCTGCTACCTTTGAACCCGTCGGTTGCAAGGTTAGGTTGTGACCGGACAGACCCTGTATTTGGCCAGAAATTATCGCGGTCGCCACCTGTTTTCACCTCCAAACAGAAAGATTAACAGTCTTTTTCCTTTTTGGAAGCGGACTCACCGTTGCGGAGAAGCCCAGACGTCGTCGTTGGCAGAAACGCTTTCCTGGACGTCGTTTTAAAACAAACTGGCACTGGACACGGTCCACTAAGGTTTTAATTAAAAACTCGTCACTTAACGTTGTTGTCAAAACAAAACAATATCTTTTATTTTGGCCCTGCCGTTGATACAAGAGTAAGATGCCGTGATTTTTATACGCACAAGAGACGCTAAAGCGACGTGTCGCGGCTCGAGGCATGTATCCAACTGAGTGGCAGAGCGCTGAGCTTCAGCACGAAGCCTCGCTTTCCCTCATTTCGACGTTGCGCTTGCGCATAACCACCTGGCGTGAACTTTGCGAAAAGTAAACGGGATTCCTGGAGATGGATCCCTAAGTTCGTTGAAACCTCCTCTCAACGGATTATCCACATTTCAAAACTTTTACGAATTTTTGTATAAAATTTGGAAAATGCCGAAATGTTAAAAATTTTGACATGGATCGTTTATTTATGCTTAAATAAACGTTCCCTACAAGTTTCATCAACAATTAATGTATTTTAACAAAATTTTGATTTTTTTCCTAAAAGTGCCTAATTGTAATTTATTTTGTTTCAGGGATGTTCCAGCTACTTTAAGAGATCCCCAGGTAAGTATTCATCAACTTATCATTGTTTTTACAAATTTTCCGATTTTAGGTAAAAACATAAAGTAGGCTTAATAGTGGAAAATTTATTTTTTTTCTATAAGTCCCTATTTCTTCCGAAAAATACTTTCCAGGTAGTTTTATTAACTACTACAATATTTTGTACTTTCAGGTTTGTTCGTTGGCATGAGGCAGATTTCTTCCATTTTCCCGCGTCGTAATGCTTTTCCAGCAATAACTTCCAGGTGAGTACAAAACTAAACAACCGAATTGTTAACAATTCTTACAGGGAAAACTTTTTGATGCCGAGGTATGCCTACTACTAAAATTTGGTTAACAATTATGTACCACTATTTTTTATGTGTTAGGTTATGTTGTGACAGGACTTTTGATTATTTTTACTTAAAGTACTCACTCTTTACAGGTTCCACGATCGCCAGGTGCTGGTTTTCGGATGTCTGAGCACCACCGTCCATTCTCATCACTCGATGCTTCTCTTTTCCCATTATTTTCAGATCTGCTGTCAGAAATCGGAATGTCCAGAAAAGGTATGTATTTACGAGTTTTTTTGTTCTTTTCAGGTACACTCATATATTTTACTACGGTTATACATATTACACAATATTTACTAAACACTACCTTAAATATACGCGTATCTACTATATGTGTGTCCCGGATGAGTTACAGAAACTTTGTTTTTCACTCGCGAATCCTCAGTCTGTTCGACCATTGTCCACGAGAGTTCGATGTTAACTTGTGACCGGACGGTATTGTCTTACGCGCCCTGATTTACGGTTGCCACCTACTTTTACCGTCCAAGTAGGAAGGATATGACCCTTTCGGTCTGTTTCAGGAACGGACTCACCAGACAGACGACCACCCAAACTTGCCGCCCTCGCCGTTGGATCCTCTTTGAACACGGACTCCGGACGACTGATGCGAACAATGGGCCTCTGGTATGGTCCAGGTTTCACCAAAGTTCAGGTAGTGAGAAATAATCACACACTGAGTTTATGATTGTATAGTTTACAAACTGTTTATTAACACTTGTTTCGAACAACAATTTTCTTGTGTTACAGAATTGTACATGAAACGCGTTATTCACAACCGTTTTTCCGGTATCGCGATTTTTGTTATTTTTATGCGGACTCGTATTTACTGCGCTATGCCCTCTTGAGCGCTCGATTCCAACTCTGAGCGAGACGATGGTTATGCGTCCAACTTCTACGGATGCTCGTACAGCACTCTCTCGCGACGCGCTCGATCTCGCCAAGTCACCGCGCTATCCCTACTCCGCGTTCACGCATGCGCACAATCCAGAAGAGTAGAATTTTCTAAAAAGTGACAAATTTTGACTGGAAGCGTTTACTTGACCATAAACAAACGCTTTGGTTAATTTCACTAACAATTAACTTTTTTTACCAAAGTTAAGTATTTTAAACAAACGTGCAAAATTCCAAATGTGAGTAATTTTGACCAAAACCGCCGAGTTCACTTTAGAAAATTCTATTCTTAACTTAACTCCATCTTTTCTCTTCTTTCAGGTAGAGTCAACGTGGGACCAAGCATCTCGCCAAACCAGGTAAGTACAAACTTTCCTATTTGAATAATAAAGATGTGTTGAGGGATGACCTCCGGTTCGAAATGGTTATTCCAAAATTGTGATGATTGTAACGGCTATTGCGAACCAATGCAGGATGTATTGCGAAAATATTAGTAATAATGTAGACAAAACGTTTCGACTTTATTGTTGCAGTCTTTATCAGTTGTACACTAGTTAAAATTACAAATAAAAAAATGTCGCAGTACAAATTCGTGTGAGGATAGATTTTTACAATGTATAAATTAAGCATACATACGAAAAACAATGTATAATTGATCACATAAAACTGTGATGTAACGTGTAGTTATTTAAA